CCCCTTTTAGGTTATTTTAGGGTTAGGAACTCCGTAGACATATCAGCGGAGCAGTAAACAAGCCTAATCAATTCGAAGGAGACAAGGGAAAGAGCAAGGAATTCCTGGACAAATTATACCTGTACATTGCCGGAAATTCCAAGAAGATCCAGACCAATAAAGATAAGGTTCAATGCACTCTTTCATATATCAAAGGACCTGCCCAATTCTTCATCCACACGATCATCACTGATGCAGAAGAACCCATATCTGATTCTGAAGATGCACCTCTCAAAGGATTACCCAGCTGGGCTAACTTCAGGAAGTCTTTCATTCAGACCTTTGGAGTTGAGGACAACACTCAGGCAGCACAAAACGAGATCAGCAAATGCACCTGGGTAAAGTGTGGAGGAAATGGTCTTCAGTTTGTCACAACTCTTCAACCTCTCTTACAGGCCAGCAGATTAAACAAATTAGGGCAAATTCGAGAACTTCAGCACCTCATTCTCCCCACTCTATTAATCAAGATTGCCGCTCAACTGCCATTACCAGTCACTGCAGTAGGATACCTCAACAGTGTCCAATCTATCTGTCAATCCATGATAGACATCTTTGGTGATAAGCCTTTATTCATGTCATCTGCCAACTGCTCTTTCGGTTGCAACAAATTTGTACGTCACAATCGGGCAGTTGAGACCAGGGATGGAGCATCAAAGAAAATATCATCTAACAATCAGCAGATCAGACATCTGTCAGATAAGGATCACCAGGAGCACATGGACAAGAAGTTATGTTTCAGATGTCACAAGCCTGGACATCAGAGTTGCCAATGCCCAAATAACCGTATCTGTTACAGCTTCGAGGAGGGGGTTTCTCTTGGTTCCTAACTATTCGTCATTGACCCTGTACTATACAACTGATCCCATCACCTGATGTGTTTCATCTACATCAGTGTTTCATATCTATTATGTTTCACCTATATCACGTTTCACTTACATCACATCACATCTCTATCATGTCTCACCTTCATCACTGATACAACCCAGTGTATTACAGCATGAGGGGGGGGGTTTCTTTTCTTTCCTAACTGTTTGTCGTTGACCCTGTAACTGTATGACTGATCCCATCACTTGATATGTTTCACCTACATCAAGTGTTTCATATCTATCATGTTTCATTTCCATCATGTTTTACTCACATCGCATTTCACCTCTATCACATTTCATCTTCATCACTGATACAACCCAGTGAAACCTGCTTCATATACATCACTGATCCAACTCAGTGTTTCATACTTATTAAACTCTATCTCTGTTATTTAAGTAGCACTACCTCCTGTTACTGACCTTAGTTTTGTCCTCTTGTTCCCTACATACACTTCTTAGGGACAGTCCTCAGTAATAGACTCAGTTGTCTATTCTAGTCTTCAGTCTGAGCTCGCTTCAACCAGTATACGTTCTCAAACCACTATCAGACATAGCAGCTCAGTTTGCAACCTTAGTCTCAGTAGGACTATAGCGTGTATAAGTCCTAGTACCAGTTCAACAGTTGAACTCCTGATCCTCAGTTGTTAGGTCCCTTAACAGTATCAGGGCAATCAAATCTCATGGCACATCCACCCCGGAGAAGGATGAAACCAAGGATTCTTCCGATGAGGAAGGGATAGCTGAAGAATACATTCAAGCTATATCCTCTGAGAAGGATTTTTGAAGTCTTTGATCGCCGTGACGTCAAATCGAAGTATTGGCACTAAGGACTATTTATATCAGGCAAGATTAGCTCATAAATCTATTTATTTGCCTTGTATATTAAATACCTATGCCAAAACCATCACCACCAAGGCATTGCTCGACACAGGAGCAATGGAGAATTATATTGACATCCAGTTTGCTTGAGATCACAATCTCCAGCATCAAAGTATCGCACCTAGACCAGTGTTTAATGTTGACAGATCACCAAATAAAGCTGCAGCCATCAAACACATAGTCTTCTTCACTATATCCTTATCTGGACAACTAATGAAGATAGAAGCTTATGCCACAGTACTAGACAGGAACCCAATCATTCTAGGTCTTTCATGGTTCAAACGTTTCAATCCAGTCATCAACTGGATCACTGGAAAGATGCGCTTTTGTTGGGATCAACTCCTGCGAGCAATCAAAACCCTTGCTAGTAACATCCCAGAATACCTAGAGAAATTCCTCTCCGTATTTAACAAAAGCACAGCAGAATGGTTACCAGAATGGAAACCCTGGGATCATACCATTGATCTGGAAGCTGATTTCAAACCCCAGCAAGGCAAGGTTTATCCATTATCACCAGCAAAGCTCAAGCAGTTGGATACCTTTATCAAGGAAAATTTACGGAAAGGTTACATTTGTCCATCAAAGTCTCCTATGGCATCCCCATTTTTCTTTGTCAATGAGAAATCTGTAGATCTCCAACCATGCCAGGACTACAGGAAACTCAATGACGCCACCATCAAGAATGCCTATCCTATTCCAAGAGTAGAAGATCTATTAGATCAGGTTGCCACTGCCAAACCAACTATGTTCACCAAGCTTGATTTACATGCAGGGTACAACAATGTGCACATCAAAGAATGTGATAAATGGAAGGGAGCTTTTATCACCCCTCATGGGCTATTCAAACCAACAGTCATGTTCTTTGGAATGACAAACTCTCTGGCAACCTTCCAAGCTATGATGGATGGCATCTTTGCAGATCTGTTGCTAGAAGGATGGCTTGTGATCTATATTGACAATATTCTCATCTATTCTACTGACCCTGCGGAACATCAACAACAAACTCAACTGGTTCTTCAGCGCCTGAAAGAATCAGATCTGTTCCTTATACCGGAGAAATGTTTCTTTGATGTATCAGAAGTCAAATTCCTAGGATTTATTCTCCGCCCAGGACAAATAGGGATGGCAGAAGATAAAGTATCAGCAGTACTAAATTGGCCAAAGATTGACAGTGTCAAAGCACTACAAAGGTTCCTAGGTTTTGCCAATTTCTACCAAAGATTCATTCCAGGATACTCCAAAGTAGCACGACCCCTATTCGACCTATTGGTAAAAGGGATCAAGTGGAGTTGGACTGATGATCACAATAGAGCCATCAATCAACTCAAGGAATGTTTCAAGACTAGACCACTCTTGGTACAACCTGATGTTACCAAACCATTCCAAATAGAGTCCAATGCTTCTCTGAAAGCTTCTGGTGGTATCCTATCTCAGAAACAATCTGATGGAAGATGGCATCCATGTGCTTTCCTATCCCAGTCATTCTCTCCCATAGAACAACGGTACGAAATCTACGATCGAGAACTCTTGGCAATCATCAGATGTTTCAAAGCTTGGTGCCACTACATCAAAGGATGCACTGAACCAGTGGAAGTATTGACAGATCACGTGAATCTGACCTATTTCAAAGACCCCCAGAAACTAAACCCTCAGCAAGCATGATGGGTGTTATACCTGTCTATGTTCAATTACTGTCTTCACCATGTTCCAGGAACTCGCTTAGGCAAAGCAGACACCCTATCACGTATTGATCAAGATGCATCAGGGGGGGTGAACTTCCTGTGGAAGAAGTCCTTCTTCCAACAGAAGTCTTCATTCAAGCCATTCAGAACCTCGAACCCATCAATACATACCCAAGGACACCAAACTTTGACAGGATCTTATCCAGGAAGCCCACGATTCCCCTACCACAGGACACCCTGGGCGATACAAGACTCAGGAGATCCTGCAAAGAACCTATTGGTGGCCCACTCTTGCACACAATGTCAGTGAATATGTCATTGATTGCGCAACTTGCCAAGAAAATAAGGTCATCACACATAGAAATTCCCTGGATCTAGTACCCATCTCAATGGAATATCACCTTCCATTCCAATCCATTGCCATGGATTTCATCACGGATCTTCCTCGGAGCAACGGCTTTGACAGCTGTCTGGTGGTTATGGACCATGACTGTACCAAAGCCTCAGTATTCATCCCCTGCAACAAGACAGTAACAGCTTCTGAGACAGCTACCCTGTATCAGAACCATGTTTTCCAACGCTTTGAATTGCCTGTCAAAGCTATCTCTGACAGAGGACCACAGTTTGCATCACAAATGTTCAGGGAACTATGCACTAAACTAGGCATCAAACAGAACATCTCTAGCGCATTTCATCCTCAAACTGATGGACAGTCAGAACGTGTCAATCAAGACCTGGAACTGTATCTTTGGATCTTTTGCAATCACTGAGCAACAGACTGGACACATCATCTACCACTAGCAGAATTCACGCATAACAATAGATATCATGATGCAATCAAGACGTCCCCCTTCTAGGTGCTCATGGGTTACCAACCTTGGCACAATATTCCCACTGTGGGAACAGCAGATGCTCCTGA